TTTGAGGATTAGGGATAAGATACGGCAAATGCCTACCAAGACGGAGGAAGCAGAAGGGTGCAGCATTTAGGAGTACAGTTTGGAGTAAGACTGCTCAAATCTTTCCCTTGCCATTTCTTACAATTTTGTCCTTCACGAGTTGGTTAATATATTTAAGCCTCAGGGTGAAATGGGAATGTTAAAGTCACACAATTCCAACAAGACGATATAAGGAAAGTATTGTAATATAGTGCCTCACATGAAGCCTGCATGATGAAGGTAGCTATTATTACTTCTTTCATTAGGGGTTTAAAATGGTGGCTGTATTATATTATATCATATTATGTTGTAGTATTACTACAATGACATGCTTCACTTTGTGGTTATCAATATCATGCATTGTAAATGCTATTACTATCAAGAAAGCAGTATGATGTTTGCTTGAAAAACATGGCTTAGAATTTAAATTCAGGAATGAGGATTATATAAATGCTAGTGCCTCCATTTAGATCAAGTAGACCTATGCCTCCTATATCAGCCACACTGCCCCTCTGGGTTAGCTGGCCTCCTTGGTTAGGCAGAGGGGTAGAAAGGAAAGGCATATGGAGATGCGAAACCCAGGGGTTATAGCAGAAATGGTATAGCAAAATTAGGAATGGATGTCAAAGAATAAGAATTAGAAGAATCAGGCAAGTTTACTCAGCAGTTAATTCTGTAGGGGCAGAATCTGGGGCTGCAGCCACTGTGTTGGAGGATTATCTAAACCCTGCAAATATCATTTTGGGGAGTATAAGTCCTTTCGATGACCTTATGTCTGCAACAGTGTAGTCCTGAACAATATGGATGTGTGGGGTCCTCCATTTTCCATTTCACATAAGTCCACAGGTGTTAATCCAGAGCATTGTAAGTGGTAGAGGAACCAAAGGATGTGATGATATAATTTTTTAAAAAGAAAAGACAAAAAGGAGACCAAAGGCCTATTGACAAAGTACTGAAGTAGCAAAATAAGAATGATCAATGGAAGACAGGACTATGTGAAATTAGTTTTTCAGAGTAAATCTGAGAATGGGATAAATTCAATATATATTTTTTTATTATTTCCAAAATGGTGGTTTAAGAGATTTGCTGGACCTATTTTACCAACAGGGAATAAATGGAACAGACCACCAGAGTCAGTGCGATAACCCAATTTTCTGTTTTGACTCAAAAGTTAGTGAAAAGTCCCCTGACTTCATTTAAGTAGAGATTAAGGATATGGGAGTTTTGCCTGAAAGTCTTTGAAAATGGCTAAAGCTTTTCCCTCAAGACTTGACTTTTATATGTCATTAAGACTTTAAATCTACTGTATCCATGAACCCTTCCTAAGGAAGGAACATGTAAATAAAGTGCATTTTTCCCCTAGGCTGTAAATCCAAAAGCGGAGCATGACTGTAGAGGTAATACCAATTCACATGGTCAATCCATATAAAATAATTTAAAATACGAGTTATTTTTAAGAATTAGTCATGTGCATGCACTAGTGTAGACAGATGATAGGCCTGTGATTCTTCCTGCCTACCACAGCTTTCCTTCAGCCTCTCCCATTTTGTACACTCCCATTGGTGTAATTTTTCAAATTACACCCTTCTGAAAAAATCAATTTTAAGAGTTCGGTGTTACATATCTATGCTTTGCTCTATGCCCATACAAATTACAGGCATACACACTCACACACAAAACTATACTTTCTTTTTTTATTTTTGGAAAAATAGTATGATACTCTATACATTACTTTGAAATCTGATTAAATAAATTACCTACATGTCAATTAAAAGAATAAATATATGTTTTTTCCATTTAACAATTTTATCAAATGCAAAAAATAAAACTTATATTTTCTCACTTAACAATCTTTCAAACACAATACATGTATTCACTTCCAGGCCAACACATATTATTTTAATTCATTCTTTCTAATGGTAATGTAATATTTTATAACATGCATGAATCATATTTTAATTATTTTCCTGTAATGGACTTACTAGTTGCTTCCAGTTCTTTCCACTTCAAAATATGCTGCAATAAATATCCTTGAACATATTGCTCTGGTCTAAATGTTTAAGTCCACCCTCCCTCCCCAAATTCATATGTTGAAACATAATTGCCAAAATATTGGTATTAGGAGGTTAGGCCTTTGGGGGGTGATTGGCTCATAAGTGTGGAGGCCCTGTGAATGAGATTAGTGCCCTATGAGGAAATGAAGAGACCAGAGGTCTTTCCTTTGCCATGGGAAGGTGTTATCTATGAACCAGAAAGTGGGCCCTCACCAGACACTGAATCTGATGGTACCCTGACCTTGGACTGCTCAGCCTCCAGAACTGTGAAAAATAAATTTTGGTTGTTTATAAGCTACCCAGTTTATGAGTTTTATTATAGCAGCTCAAAAGACTAAGACACATATATTTTTACATGCACTTTTGTTTCTACAGCATAAATGCTGGGGGTGGGGGGAAAGAGATTACAGCTTAAAGGCCTTAGAGACTACCAGCTTGAAGACTGCTCTCCATTATTTTGTAAAACTTCCTCAAAAACAGGAGAAACGGGATATTTTAAATGCTCTTTCATTACTGGTTTATAATTTTTGCTGATCACCTACTGTTTGCCATGCACTATGAAAGAACTAGAGATGAACACAGAGACAAATAGAACAAATTTTCTGCCACCTAAGAGATCACACACACTCTCACTGTCAATATCTCCTACAGAAAAAGGTGCCTCAGAGGGGCTCCTCGTGCCCCTGTATGCACACAAATTGTGTTTTCTTTCCCTACTCCAAACTTTCTCAGCAAGAAATTTTCTCTCTCTCTCTCCTCGAATGTCTCTAACTCAGCTCTTGTAAAATGTAGATCAACCAATTAACTTACGTGACTTTTTAAGTTTGTTTTGTCAATGAGAAGCTAATTACTGATTTATGAGCAAAAAGCTATTTCTGCTTAGAGCCTTAGATTCATACAAGAGAGAGAAGGACCACAGATATTTTATATACAGTAACTTTTACTCTTTCTCTCTCTCTCACATACACACATACGCACATACACACACATACGCACACCTCAAGAAAAAACAGCTATAATGCATTATAAAGCAGTGTGATAAATTCTCATGAATGAATGAACAAATAAATAAAAAGTAATGGAAGCTCAAAGAATGAGAAGAATCATTCAGTTTGGGATAGAGAAAAGGGGAAGGAGTAAATATAAGGAAAATTTTCATAGAGGAGGTAACATTTGAGTTGAGGTAAAAGACAAACATTTTCTCCAGGCTTGAGTGTGAGTCTGTTCCATACAGTGTGAACAGAGACAGCAAGGACATTGAGGCAAACAGTGCCTTCGAGTACTGAAGGGACCTGATATAGCTTAGAATGGTGGTTCTCCAACTTTAATGTGCATACGAATTACACAGGGGGCTTATTTAAAATGCAGATTCATGGGCACCCATCTTCCCAGTATTTTGATTTGATGTCCAGGAATCTATAATTTAAACAAATTCACCCAAATTCATGATGCATTGAAATATACCAGTAGAGGCTGTGTAGTGAGTAGTGTCACAACAGCATGTTGCAACAGTATTGGAGAGAACACGAACTGATATTTCAGATAAGTGACAATGTGACACAGTAAGAGATCATGTCAGAAAATGATGTCAGGTCTTTGAACTTGGTTTTGAGAGAGAACGGCTTGACAATGGAGACATCGTTTTGATCCAAAAAAGCCACTGTTTCACAGGACTTATTTATCGAATGGCTGAAAATGAATGTGGGCAGAATTTTGAGAAAAGCCAACTGAAAAAGTTTCCTGGACTGTGAGCATTGCTTGCTTTGTTTAACTTGGCTGTGAGGAAAACAGTTTCAGAATAGCCAGCTCTGAACCACTAGTTCAAGCCCTCCAAAAGCTGTCTTGATATGTCAATTTGATATATTCATGCATTTTTATTCAGGTCTGCAAAATAGGCAAATGTGATTATCTCGTAGATCATCCATGTAAACACTCACCACAGTTATGTAGCCAAAGCCAGATACGAGCCCTTGGAGCTAAGATCTGGGAACACAGAACAGGCTCTTACATAATTTCCCAGCTAGTCAGTGTTAGGGCCTGTGATTAATGCTACATGACGGGCTTTGAACTTTCTGTTCAGATAGGTTCGCTTGCCTTTTTGAGCTCCCAGCAAGAAGAAACGTGTGACCTGCAGATTTCACTCTGAATAACCATCATCCATCCAACAACACTGATATTGCTCTGTGGCCCTTTGAGCAACCGTCTCTGTGCCTCACTCCTCTGTCCACAAATTGCCTTAGGACCGTCAGGGTGCTTTTTTTTTTTAAGGGACAAAGCAGAAGAGGAATATAACTTCCTAAAGCCCAGTTGCTGAAGAAAGCTACACCAGCGAAGGCTGGTGAGCTCTTCTAGGATAAATCAGGAGAGCCCTCGAGGAGTAGCCAGAGAAGGGAAACTGTAATAGGGAAGGAAAGAGCTCCCTCTCCACCCCAACACCCTGATAGCCTCGCAGCGTCCCTCCCGCCCTGGATCTCCCGCGGAGCAGTTGACCACAGCGCTCCCAGCATCCCAGACCAGGCGAGGAGCCGTCCCAGTTCTGACCAACTTTCTGAGCTTGGCTAAGTCTTCCCAGCTACTGCGCTCAGCTCTGGGTTCCTGCACTCGTTCCTCACCCTGCCAAGGTCCAGGTGAGGGGCCAGAGCCCAGCGGCAGCTCCTCCATCTGCTCCCTCCCCACCTCCCGGGGAGGAGGCTTCTTTCCACAGCCCCTGTGTGTCTGCAATTGGTGAGGTGAGATGACACTTCGTCTAAGCGCCTGCAAAAATTCGTCCACACTCCCGTCTCCAAGTCCCCACCATCCCAGAATGGCACCTCAGGAGTGGGCAGGGTTGAACTAAGGGGGCTCTGAGCAGAGAGCAGCCCGCCCGACCTCTCCTCACCTGCCGCTCGCCGCCTCGGCGCCCCTCCCCGCACACACGCCGCTACTCACCAATTCCAGGGCTCGCAGGAAGGCAAGAGGCTCCTTCAGCGCCCGGAAGGTGCCCGCTGAGGCCAGCTGTGGAGGAGCGAGGCAAGAGAGAGAAAGCAAAAGCGTGAGGAAGGGGCTGAGGGCGCCTCTCCGGAGCCACCGGGTCCCCCCGGAGCCAGCCGCCCTGCCCAGGTCCGGCTTACCTGGCTCACGGGGTCCATAGCTCGCCCTCGCTCGTCTTCTCACCTACTGGTTCCCTTTGAAAATGAAGTTCGGTTGACACCACCGTCCTCGGGCTCAGAAGCCCCCTCGGTGACAGCCGGAGGAGCGGGAGCCTGGAGCAGCCAGGCGAGGGCCGGGGCCGGGAGAGCCGTGTGCCCCGCGCCCGCTCGCTAACGCCGGGCTGTGCGCCCCGGGAGCCCAGCGCGCCGGGGAGGCGAGCCCAGCCAGCCGAGGGGCGCGGAGGGAAGAGCTGGGGTAGGGTAGAGACAGCAGGGGAGGGGAGAAAGCCAGGCAGCCAGGGGAAGGCTGTCATTGGCCAGTCGCGTGCTCCAGAGGGGAGGGCGAGGAGGTGGGCGACGCAGAACCCACAGGCATTGGTGCAGGCTCAGCCGCGCCCGCCCGGTGCCCTCTGGCTCTGGGGAAACTTTGGGGCTGTTGCTTGGGGAGAGCGGACTGGCTCTGTCAGCGAGACGGCTGCCCCCAACCCCGAAGAAGGGGCTTCCAGGTAGGACAAAAACACCTACACCTTACATGGAACATGTGTGTGAGTTCTGGTGACTTCTGAACTCCAAAAAAGACTATGTATTTGTTGACTCGTTCATTCATTTCCTCAAGGCTTCATGGAACGGCCTCCATGTAACCAGGCCGTGCTAGGTGCTGAGGACTATCAAAAAACAGGATAAGCACTGCCTCGAATTCCAATGTGGTCTGGACAGTGATGCAAAAGGTGGGCACAGGTGATTTGGGTCACACAGCAGGACATTCACCTTGGCCCACAGAGGGCCAGGGCAGAGGAAACTGTGGAAAGAAATGAATCTTGAATGCAGAACCATGTACCAGGCAGATAATCCTCACGGCCGCTGTGTGAGGTCAGGAGCAAATTATCATGCCTATTTTAAAAGTAGTAAACAGATTGAGTGAGGTTGAATTAAACAAGGTAAAACATCTCAGGAAGGGCTAAACAAGGATTGAAATTCAGGAACCTTTCAAGCTCATGTTGTTTCTACTGAGATTCTTTGCCTAAGATCTGAAACGCAAAGGAAGACACCCTCAAAAAATTTATCATAAATAGGACTCTGAGTTTCTCCTCCAAAGTTACTCAAACTGTTTTCTTGGAACTAGTGAAAGGTGACTCACATATTTTCCTCCCTTAGTGGGCTCACCTTGATGAATATAACAAAACACCACCAACAAAAACCCCTGAGTTCTATGAGCCTGAAACTGTGTTTTATAAATATTACTTCATTAAATTTTCATAAACCCCCAAGAGTTAGTAGTAATATTATTCCTATTTTAGAGATGAGCAAATTGAAGCACATAGAAGGGAAGTGGTCTGCTCAAGCTTGTACAGCTAGTGGGTAATAAATAATACCAGAATTGAATTAGAAAAGGAGTCAGAAAAAGAAAAGGAGGAGGAGAAGGAAGAGGAGGAGGAGGAGGAGGAAAGCTCTAAGCTACTACACCAAATAGCTGGTATGTCCTCTTCCTTCTCACTCCCTTTGGACTGGATTCCATTTATGAGTGGTCTCCCAGCAACACAGATAGTCCATCTGTTTACTACCAAGATTTGCCAGAAAGGTTTGGAGTTTGTGTGTATGTGTGTGTGTGTGTGTGTGTGTGTGTATGTGTGTTGGGGGAGGTTGGTATTTGATATTTAGAAGTGGAAGAGAAATATGGAAAGGAATAATGTGCTGTCTGGGAGGGGAGGCAGCAGGCCAAAATTGGTTAAGAAAGAGAGCTTCCAGTGTAGATGCCCCCTGCCCATGGATTTTGCTAGAGAAAAACTAGAAATTCAGTGAGTAGGAACTCCAACAAACCATTTGCACCATCTGCAGTCAGCCGGCTTTGTTCCTACTGCTCTTCCTACATGCAGATAGAGTCTAAAACAATTAGAAACAGTTGTTTCAAAAATAAGCCGTTATGCAACTATGGGGGGTGGGGTGGGAGAACTAACACTATCAAGTACTTAGCGTGTACCCTGCAAGCTGTGTATATTATGTATGGGTGAAATTACTTAACCTCTTCAAGACCTTAGTTTGTTTCTTTGTTTCAATCTGTAAAATGGAGCCAGCAATATCTACCTTAGCTGGTTGTTACAAGGACTCCATGAGATTTTGAGATTTTACAAATAGCATATGCAGGGCAGAGTCTGGCACTTCATAATCTCTCAACACGCAGTAGATACAGATCTCAACTCTAGCACTTCTACAGAAGCAAAGATGACTCAGAGGCCCACATCAGAGGCATGATAGTTTGGATCACTGTCCTGCCACCCTCTGCAGTGCCCCTCCATTATTTATGTCCTTGCCCTTTTGGACCCAGAAGTAGCCAGGCAACTTGCTTTGACCAATAAAATATGAGCAGAGGTAATACATGCATTTCTGGGCAGAAGTTTTTAGAAGCAGCAGGTGATTTGCCAACTTTCTTATTTTCTTCTACCATGATGAATAAAATTTCTACATAGAGGCTACTCTGGTAGCCTGGGTCCTAGTGTAAGGATGATGTACAGCAGAGCTGCCACTGGACCTTGATGGACATGGAGCTGAGCAAGAAATGTATTCTGGGGTGTAAACATGTAGAAAATGTAAGTCTTCTATTACTATAGCACAGCATAACCTAAGCTGATTGATAACAACAGTTCACGCCACTAGTAAAGTAGCTAAACCAAATTTCGACCCTGGATTTGCATGACCTCATGGTCCTTGTATTTGTCCTCTGTGCCTCATAGTCAACGAGCTTAATAATGATGCATATGCTTAATGATGATGATTGTAATAGTTAATTATCAACTGAGTTCTTGCTACGTGTGAGGCATTGTGCTAAGTGCTTTACATGCATCATTTAAGCATCATCTTAATTTCGCCTTTTATGGAGAGTATATCCAGCTACTTAGAGAGGCTAAGTAACCTGACCAATGTCATCTATACATTTGTATCTCTTTAGGTAGGGAGAGAGATTTATTTAAAATATTGTCTGCTTGCATATCATTTGAATTGAGAACTCGGCAGAGATGAAGTGTGATTACTGAACCTATCCCCGCAGGTCTCTCTTCTCACCCAATGTTCCTCCCTGCTAATATGGTGGCATATTTTCCCAGTTCTCCGAACACCATGTGAAGCAAGTCAGAATTGTGGCGAATGGCAATGTAATAGCTTAGACAACAATTGCACATTGTCAGACGATGCTTTTCACATTCCAGAAATGTATGAGCTTCCAACAGCTGCATCACCAAAATAACCCAGACTTTCATATCACAGTTGCAATGTTAAATATTTTGTAGACTTTTGAGGTTAGAACTTCTGTATTCAGACCTGGAAATAACATTGGGTTCCCTAAAGAACTAGGCTGGGAAAGATAGGAGGGACGATATAAACGCTATCACAATATTACTATCAGTGGCTGAGGGTAACCTCCTTCTCTTTTGCCCCAAGGTGATGAAAGAAATTTTCTTCTTTCTATAACACATCTGTCACAATGACTCAGTGATAATGCTAACTTTGGTGGGGCATACATAATATATTTTAGTGGCCTGTATTGATTATGTAAATCAAGTAATTTACAAATTCTCTTTTGTTTTGGGCCAGGGACTCATAGCTATAAAGACATCCTTTGACATTCCAAGACGATCCATTCATTTACTGCAGTGGTTCTGGTTCTCAATGGAGGGAGATTTAGGCCTTTCCCTCTTCCAGGAGACATTTGGCAATGTTTGGGGACATTTTTGACTGTTACGATTGGAGAAGGGGAATGCCGCTATTACCTAGAGGGTAGAGACTAGAGATGGTACTCAACATCCTGCAGTGCAGAGGACAGTTGCGTACAACAAAGAATTATCTGAAAAATGTCAATAGTGCCAAGGTTGGAGAAACCCTGCTTACTCATTCAGCAAGTAACGGCTGAGTATCTGTTATATGCTAGTAGTGTTCTAGGTAGTGTAAGCAGCTTGCCAAGATGCCTGTCTTCACGAAGCTTACATTGTTGTGGGAAATACTTTAAGGCCAATTTTGTAAAGCTCAATATTTGCTAAGTAAACAAACAAACAAAATCAAGTTACAAAAATAACCATTTTGAATCCCAAAGAATCAAAACTTTGAAAACCAAAATACCAAGCTGAAGTAGAAGGGCTTGCATCATTCAGGTAAATTAAATCTTGTTCTCAGGGAAAAACATACCTGGGTCTCATTTTCCTATGTCTCTTATGATAAAGAGGAAAAAGTAGTTCAAAATTTTATCAGTAGCACCATAAACAGGTGGAAACACTACCCATATGTTATAAAATCTAGAATACTGGAAATAAGTGGATATATGTCAAATGTTATATATTGAACTCTCTGTTCATGCTGCTAACCTGAACTTCCCAAATCTTTCCTTAGGTAAGGAAGTATGAAAGCAGAGGCCAGTAGCATGCCTGTGTATTTATTTGTTTTTGTGTTTGGTTTGCATGCATAGGGCCACTGGTGCATAGTATAGGAGATGGTGTGGAAATATTTTCAAGAACTCTAATTTTATAGTAAAAATAGCATTATCTGTCAATCCAAACATCAAATAAAGCCATCTTTACTTTGTTAAGTTTCTGTCTTAAATGGATGCAATAAAATGTACAAGAGTCTGTATATCGGTTTGGTTCAAAACTTCATCACAAAATAAGATTCCATGGACTAAACTGTGGGAATTCCTTAGCATTCAAATAGGATCATTCTTAATTAACAATTGTAACTGATATAAAAATTCATATGTAGATGTCTAATGTGAACTCCTATCTTAAAGTGCTTTTATTAATACTATTTCTGTTCCCATTTTTGTTTTAAACAAAAGAGATTTGTGTAAATTCGGGCAGGCTTGTATATATGCAAATTAGAGGACCAAAACTAACATCAAAGGATTCACCCAGGGAATAATAGTAGCAACAGAAATTATAACAATGACCCTTACAACACATTAAGTAGATGTTGGACAGAATGCTAAGTGCCTCTATAGGCATACCTTGTTTAATTTCCTCATCAACCTTATACATATGTACTATTGTTATTGTCATTATACCCACGAGAAAACACAGGTTCAAAGAAATAAAAAATCTCAGCTAAGGTCTTATGGAGAGTAAATAGCAGAGTCAGGATTTTCCTCCTACTCTCATAACTTTCCAAGAAAAAGATGATATGCAGTTTTCATTGCAAATCTGAAAATGTCACAAGCTTTAGGCAAAAATATTTTTCTTGCTGAAACACAAACAAAATTTCTCTGGAGAAATAAAGTAAAGTCAGGCACCAATTTCTAGTACTCTGCTGGTATTCCATGAACATACTAGAACACAATTAGAAAAATAACTCCTCCCTCTTCTCAAAGTCTCAATTATTCTAATTATTTTTGTCTTTCATCATTAGCTGTGTTTTCCAAAATGCTCATCATTTTTGATGTTCTCCTGGGATC